AGACAGTTTACTCTTCATATCCGGCGTTTGCGGCCTCAACATATACAGCTACGACTCCCCTCTGGTGACTATTGATCATGGGCATGGCTGGATCTTGAATGGACACTTTAGTCTCGTCCACGTGATTGACCTTAACTACTTTAACATAGCGTTGGAAAAACTAAGAGAGACAACACGGTATGAGATCGAAAACGAAGCAGTGAGGACAGTTTTGCAATTCCACCTGAACCAGACTGAGCTACGTCTTGAAGAACTCCAGATGACCAAATTGAGAAAGACACGTTCTATTGACTGGATCGGTTCGGCATGGAAATGGATTGCTGGCTCTCCGGATGCTGCGGATTGGGACTATATCCTTCGAAGCTTAAACGAGGTGGTGACCAACAACAACCACCAATATCGCGTCAATGACAAGCTCTTTAACGGAACCCGTGAAGCAATTGAGAAGGCAAATCAAATGATGGTTCACATTAATGCAATCAGCAAGAGTGTTAAAGAAGAAAACCTTGAACTTCTGGACCTAAGTAAGGTTCTCATCCTTAAAGAACAAGTATCGGAGGTGGTGCAAGCGTGCCAAATGGCAAAAACGGGCATCGTGAACACGAACCTGCTTGATCGAGAGGAAATCCATAGACTTATACTCGAAGAAGAGGCCTTACCATACCAAAACTCAATCGAGGCTATAGAACACGGATCGGCATCCGTATACTCGAACGGAACACTTCTTCTGTATGTTCTTTCCATGCCAAAGGTGAAGCCGGACAGCTATCGACTCTTAATGACACGAGCTGCTATTATAAACGGACAACACGTGGTACTCGACTATGAGAAAATGTTGATAAATCAGGACGAAACGTTCGGTATTAAAAATGATTGCTCGTCCATTGGCAATTACTCAATTTGCGCACCCAAATCGTTGGCTACACTACCCGAAGACGGATGCATAGCGAGATTGTTAAAAGGCGGAAATGCGAAATGTCACTTCGAACCATCCAGCAGCATAATCATAGAAATGATGGACGAGACGTCACTATTCCTAACGAACTTTTGGGGTAAAATCCAGGGAAAAAACTACGAAAACGTCCTGAATGGAACATATGTCGTTTTGCTCAACAACGAAACCATCGTAGTGGGAAACCAAACGTTTACCAGCAGGTCGACAAGGATGGTACAGGCTTTGCCACCTGCATTAACAAACGTGACGAGTAATGGCCTGAAGCTGAATTTGGACTACATCCACGAGCTTAGCGTAACAAACATCCGACACCTACGAAAATTGGGCGAAACTTTTCACTTTTCGCTGATTATCGACACCGTTGCTTTGACGATCCTTGCATCAATATGCTACGTAATTTGGAGGAAGATTACTACAACTATCTACTTTCCCAGGCTCAATCGCTCAATCAAACAAGATCAGCCAAACGCCCTCTTCAAAGATCTACGTCAGGAACTACCTCATCAGCGGGACGCAGATGTTTAAAGGGGGGGTAGTTAATACGGGGGCTAACACACATACCTGTGTGAATGTGCTGACGCCGCACTTCCCCAAACACGCGCATAACCAGTGCGGGTAATTGAACTCTCATGCAAAAATAATCGAACATACGTTAGCATAATTGAATCTATGGGAAGCGCAGCGTCAGCAGTTAATTCAGCCGGTTAGACAGTAAGTCATAGTATTAAGAAATATGTTGCATTCATTCCGTTTGGGACAGCAGAAGCAGATGGTAAATATACTTGTACAAAACTAATTATTGTCTTTTATTTTAGGAAGGACAACTCGGGGCCGCCGTGCGGCCCCCAACTTTAACTTTTTCGGGCTCACGGATGTGAGCTCGATGACTTATATAATTTCGGGATATTTTTGGTTGACTGCATGCAGAATTATTCTCCCCCTTTTTTTGTAGAACAAATTTAGACGCGTGTAACGCATTGTTCGTGCATTCAGAACTCTTTGTGTGCTTAACTAAAACCGAAGTTCTTATTTTTTCTAACTTTCATACATATATGTACTTATGTGGTAATTTAGTTCTGCCACGCAGCTCCCGTCACTCTGAGCACAAAACTAGTCAATTATTCTTAAACGGCTGAAGGCCTCAATAATGAGTATCGCTGGTTATATTTTCCCAATTTTCCAATTTAATTATATTTTCCCTTGGGGGGAGAGTTAGTGAAGCGGCAGACAAACGCACCAAGTGTGGGGGCGGTTATTAGCACCACTATACGAGCATCCGTGGACGATTGCTGGCCCACTGACACCAGCACTACGGCGCAGGGGAAGCAAAGAAGGGCAGCTTTTTGCCAATCGCGGTATTTCCAATTTAGCACTCTGTTGGTAGCCCATGAGTGGGCTCGGTGTGGATTTTTCGTTAGCTTTGGAGCGCTAATTGCGTGCCAAATCTACACAGGGATACACCAACAAACACGAATACTAAGAAACTACGCCGAATTGTGAGATGTGCCAGAGAGACTTACCCTATAGGAGATGGCACCCAAATGGGATACAATTGGTGTCCGAACCCAAGGCAGCCCTACTCTTCTTTTCCTCGTACATACGACAAAGGGGATGGGTGGCAACTTTGTACGCAAAATGAAATGCGGTTTCCTCGTAGCTGGTGGCTACTTTGGGCCAAGGAAATTCCTAGAATTCTTGCCCTTAGCGCAAAACAAAAACCACATTTTTATTGCTGCAATCCGTACTTACTTTTTCCTGGTATTGAACGCAATTCAGCCCAGCTGTGTTGAGAAATAGCTTTTGTACAATATTTCCGAATAAAACTAGTCGATATTTTTGATTAAAAAAGTCCAAAAATTAGACATAATAACTTTTATTGAAAATGAGATCAGAATTGCTAAAATATGTCCTTATTTTTGTTAAGGGACAAAATTTTATCAACGCTTGTTTTCTTTAAGCAGCATCTGCGCTCGGAAATTATTTGCCCTGCTTTGCTAAATGTCCCTTCCGACTCACAAGATGAAAAAGGTACCGCCGGCTTTTACTCTTACTGAATAATGTATGTATGAGTGGAAACTATCGATAGTGCTTACAAAACCATCGATGTTTTCGATAGTCGAAAACCATCGATACTATCGACAGTGCCATCGATAGTTTTCCAGCTCTACTCTGTTGTTGTGGAATGTACTTTGAATGAACTAGCACGGACGGTGTGACCATATCTCGCACTATGCCACAAAAATGTTTTCTATTTCACTTAATAGTCTGTTAAAAGTAAAATATCGCGCAATGCTGCACAAAATTCCAACTAACAATGAGCCCCGTACCTGAAACACAGACTACAATATACCCGGTCAGCTAGATCACCCCAGCTGTTATATTCAAAATTTAACTCTTCAATATCCGAGCGACAATTCTTTATCTACACTATCCGTCTTTGGAATAGCTATCCATCGGCATTAAGACTAATTACAAACACCGTGCGTTTTAAATGCGAGCTTTACAAATTTTATGTCTAACGACCTGTCTCCTGACCTCTCCTAATTATCTATATTATTCCTTCCTTTGCTTCTTTCATCTAAGAATATATATGTAATTTTACTATATCTACATAAGTTTTCTATTCTGTAGTTGCTAATACATACGGTGACCATATTAACCAACGTAAAATAAAGGACTTTTTTCAAAATGGGAATACGTACATGCAACTTGTATGATAAGAGGGCCTTACCCATGTCGTAATTTAAATCAAATATTTACCAGTTAACTATATTATTTAATTGTACAAGTTCCCCTGCTACAGCGAAAAATTAAGCCAAATCCTTTTCAAGGACTTCGCCATCCTTTGCTACCAAAATGCGTTTACCATAATTCATAATGCACGACGAAGCCAGCACACAGTGGTTCAAAATTGGAATTTAATGTTCATAATGCACCGGAGCCTTAATTTTTCAACCAATTTTTTTACTAAAAAGCAAAACGAAAAAAAGAATTTTGGTGAACATTTTTTATAACATTTAAAAATTTTTTTTTGTGTATCTTTCTTTTTGTTTTCAACTAGTTTTTGTTTTGTAACATTTATTAACTGGAACAGCATTTTGCACAAAACAATTTAATGTAATCAAATAAAAATACAGAAATCAGGCTCCAATGAATTACGAACACTAAATGCCAGTTTTGAACCACTGTGCAGCAGGGGGTTTATTGTTCTCTTTCAATGGAACTGGAAACTCAGCGTGCAACACGGTCCTGGGCACAACTTTCCCTTTATAGATTTATAGATTGTAATTAAATAGAAACCCTAAGAGGGATGCGAAAGAAACTGGCGACAGTTTTCATTATATTTTATCAGGGACATTTTTATTTTTCATATTCCGCGTTTAAAAGTTTACCTCTGATAAATGCAGCGCCGATTTAAAGGACAGTTTAAGAAATAAAGGACAAAAGGCGTCCTTTATTTTTAAAAAAATTATAAAGGACAGGGAGTTAAAAAAAGGGCTGTCCTTTGAAATAAAGGACGGATGGTCACCGTACTTATACCCAATAACGGCGCTGAAATATAGCTAATGGCTGTTGCGTTGAAATCAATAAATAAATAAAAATAAAATATAGTATTATTACATACATACATATATACAGCTACATACGTTACCTAAACCCACTTCAATTGCAGAACGAACCTTTCCTTGCTTAAAACAAAATGAAAGCACTAATTCCCATTTCTTTTAAACTACATACTAAAATTAAAAGTGCAGTAATCCTCGCTTACTTTAATCACCTGCTCCGTCAAAAACTATTGCATAAAAATTACAAGTAAATTTCCTTGTGTAACTCAACGCGGTTAATTGGTTTCCCCCCACAATTGGTTTAAAATATGTTATCAAAAAGAAATATACCTTTAACTTTCCCGCGTTAATTGCAGAAAGCAATTATGTAACAATGCAAGTATACATATTTATAAACAATAATAATTCTGAGTTGTTTATGTTCCACTGAGTGGAATAAGCAATAGTTATTGGTCATATGTGCATACATATGTAACATTTTAAATACTCACCAAATAAGTTTTGGGAAGTTTTTCTACAAACTTTAGTCGTCCTGAGCAGGAGTTGAAATTCGTTACTGTGACATTAAAAAATACATCAAAGGCAATTAAAGAATGCCGCGGTATCAATATAGAAAAAAGAATTGACGCTTCTTTTCCTGGAATAATTTGACCTCCAAGTATTACGTTATGCTCGCTTCCATTTTTATACCGTTCTTCATGCCTTAAAACAAAATTGACATTAGATCAATATTAACATACAGTTATATAAAATAAACTTACTTTAAAAACAGTTTGTAATCAATGTTATTGCGTGGTAACTTAACATCCAAGCTTGCATACAAACGTGAATCGTCCCAAATCTTTTCTTCTGAGTGGAAGCGGGACAACACTAAATGTAATATATTCGTGGCTCCCGAATCACCGACATTCCGACCACTGTTAAAGGCTATAATACCTTCGGTATGACCTTGCAATGATCGCCATGTAACATTTGAGGCAAAGTTTAAATTTGGGTGTGCCGAGGTTTTGAGCTTCATATTCCCATCGTATTCTACTTTGGACTCGTCGTCAGAGTTTGTCAGCCTTCCTTGAAAATGTATGCTTTCGATCTTGTTTGCCTGAAACTGAATAAATCGTAATATAACAAACTAAACCTTTAATGTATTCGAACTCAGATTGAAAATTTAACAAATATCGCAAATACAAATCGAAGGCCACCTTATCTGAAAAAATAATATTAAAGTGCCTTTGCTAATAAAACCTGCATTCAGAATTGTGATGGGCAAAATTGTATTTACTTAGGGTACTCACAGTTCTATATTATCTACTGTGTTAATTTTGCCACCTGGTAACTTTAAAACATTTTACCATGTGGTAACTTTGTTTGTTGTTGGTTCCCATACTAATTAGAGATAACACTTTTGGGCAAAATTACTAGACTTTGTCTCATGTTTATGTTCTGTGTTAAACTGGCATCTATGGCTGCTTGTACATACATACATGAATTTCGCTTTGGGCGCAGCGCTGCTTGTACATAAGTTTCTCTTTGCGCCTGCCTGTAGCTGGCAAAGGTTATTTTTTTTTATTTTTGCGCTGTGCTAGCTGAGTATAAAAAAGAGAAGAGAGAATAGAGAGAAATATGTATGTGGTTTGTTGATGCTCTCTAAACAGAAACGCGTGAAAGGCAAACGGTCTAGCAATGCGTGGTATTGTTGATCAACTTAATACTTTATTTAAACATAAGGGTTGCTCACAGTTCGAGTGTGTTATCTTGTTAAAGTTGCCACCTTTTAACTTTAGAAGTAAACTGTGAGTACCCTAACTAAGTATTACGTACTAAGTACAAAAGTATTTAGGTATTTGTGTTGTGATAAGTAGCAAAGTACTATTTACTTTAGTATTTTGGATGTTGCTAAATAGCAAGTATGCTAAATACTTTGTCTAAAAGTATTTAGTTAGTTTCACCTAACGAAGCACCGCGTACGTAAGTACTTTGAGACCTTGGCTTCACTAACTACCGATAAAAAAGCAAGGAAAATTTAAAAAATACTAAAATCATTTTAACTGGGTCATTTAAGTAGGTATATATACCTATGTATGGATGATATAATAGCTCTAATCCAATACTTTTCGTGTAAAATCCTGTAAAAATGTCAAACAGCAAAATTACTCTCTGAAGTAAGAATAAAAAGTGAGTAATAGCAAAAAGGACGGTAACAAAAAAAAAACATCGGGTAAAATCTTGCAACTTCATTCTCTACGCCACTCTCAAAAATCGCTCTCATTTACAGGATTTTGGAATATGGGATCATTTTTCCTGTAACTTCCTGCAAGTTCGTGTAAAAACATGAGTAAGAGGAAATGCCGAACAAATCAATTTAGCTTCCCATTTTGCAAACGAAAGATACATATAACGTACATATTCATGACTTTAAGGTAAACCTATGGACAGATGACGCCGAACCACAGATTATACTCCTAAAAGAAAAACTAAATTTAGAAATATATACAAATAGAAATGCTCAAACTACTAGCTCAAAAACAGTAATTGATGCGGTGTTTTCAAGATATTTTACAAGTATCATATTTTGTCAATCACACCGATTATTTCATGTATTAAAACTATTAAAAATGAAAACGAATAAAAGAATTTTAATCAGCAAAATGAATAAAATTAAGTGAAATTAATGTTTAATTCCTAACCTAACCTAAATATGTATGTATGTAACTGAATTGCCTAATGATGGGTTTACATACGTATAAGTAGATAATCCTCATTTCCGAGCTAAACTCCCTAGTATTTTTAGTATTTTCTATGTTCTAGTTCACTTGTTTCATTTACATTATTTGCATATACTTCTCTGACCTAGTTATTAAAAAACGTCTTTCTTCTAGAAACTTCTACCGACGTCGTTCACGTTTTATTAAGCTAATTTTTCGGGAATAAAACTATAATTTAAGTAAATTAAAACGTGTATTATTTTAATTCTCCTACAACAAACAATATCTCAGATTAAACCGATAACTTTTTGGTGTCCAACCTAGTTTTATCGATTATACTTGCGAAGAAGAGGAGGAATGTCAAATGTTAAATTAAACAAAAATTGAAGCTAGTAAGGAAAATAGGTTTGTAAAAGTGATGTATTATGGAACGAATTTCCGTCATCCCTTGTCAAATTTGGTTTGGAGACAAACCGGTTTCGGCGTTGTGCCATCTTCAGTGTCATTTTTCGTTTCGAAACCGGTTTGTCTCCAAACCAAATTTGACAAGGGATGACGGAAATTCGTTCCATAATACATCATACACCCACCCTGTCGGAAACAACAACAACCAAAAAGGAAAAGTTTGTAAAAGTATTTTTAATAAAATATTCAGTTAAAATATATTTAAATATCATAAT